TGCGATTTTTTGTTTTCAACTACGTTTAGTCTTCATCGAGTACTTAGGTGTATTAAATTGATCACATTTCAGACATTGTTTAAATATTTTTATATATTTCAATTTTAAAAATGTTCGAACCGTTTTAAATTCGAATTTGTTATTGCGTATTGGTTCGATTATAGAACGATTGTAAACGTTTCAGAAAATTGATCAAATTGAAAATAGTTCGTTTGATTTTCGGCAATTCTCTTCAGCGGTAGGTGTTATATAACAATTACTATAGTTATTGAAATATTGGATGTAAATGGGGTTTGTTTGCAAAACCTCCGCTGACGAAGTCGCGGGTAACAGCTAGTATATATATATAAATGGACATGTATGTCCCTTTATTTCACTTTTTCGTCAAAACTACACATCGCACATGAATGGTGTTCGTATGTGGTAGTATCCCTAAGTCTCCATTCGTGCATGCGTCTGGTTGCGTCTCGATAGCTATAAGGGTGCGGGAGATATGAGGCTGAAAGTGGTTGAAAGTGGCTTTCTATTTCGAATGTTTTGTTCGAATTAAATTCGAACATAAAATTCGAATATTGGTTCGATTATAGAACTATTGTAAACGTTCCAGAAACGTTGAAAATAGTTCGTTTGACTAAACGTAAAAATTCTCTAATTAGTCTGGAAACGGGGGACCTAATTCTTGCATTCTGTGAAAACGGGTAAGATTGGCTATAATGTAATTATCTTACTATCTAATCTACTATACTAATCTATCGTTACTTTTTAAAAACCCAGCGAAGCGGGTCCTTGCAGCTAGTTTTAAATATTTTCTAACAAAAACTAAAGCTTTTACATAAAATCGTAACAAAATTATTCGTTTTATAAATTTATTTATGAAACACCCATTTGTTATTACGTCGAATAGTCAGAGATCCATAGGCGATCAAATGAAACTGAAACAGGATCGAATAACAGTTATACGTCTCTGTAAACTTCCACCCCACGTCACGTGATGTTTACTTTAAACATGCGATATCATTTCACTTATATAAGTGACTACGCAGTATAATTGTTATACGATGCTAGCATTCATTCTGCTCTCTACACAAAATTGTTGAAATTACTTTTATGTAAGAAAAGAATGACAGTAATTATTTTTAATTAAATTATAGGCGTATACTTTATTTAACCATTACTTAAAAAAGTATGATAAGAACCATTTCAAGCGTAAGTCCTGCAGTTGATAATCAGAAGGACGAAATATGTCTGCAGTGTTTTCTCTCTTCATTTACTTCAATTTCGATGATCTACGGCTTGGAATTTTTTACTCCTTGCTACTGTAACTTAAACACTGACGGTCGCTTCCGCATACCTTTCAAATTTTACATTTCATTTATTGAATGCTTTTATTGGATGGATTCCATTCTTCTTCTATGTATGACAGTTCCATACTTAACTTAAACATCGGATGCAACGCCTTGATTTTCTTTGTTTTCGGTATATGAGTATGACATATATGTGAGAATATCTGTTGCGAGTATTACTTTGGCCGTGGCTATGATATTCAGTATTGTCAAAAGACTCAAACTGAATCCGAAAATACAATTAAACAAGTCGTATCGTTTTCCTAAACATCAGTTATATGCTACTATCAATAGTCTACAACTTTTCGCAATAATTGTAACTGTTACTTTTACGATATTCTTTGAGTGTATAATCGCTATTTTCTATTATCCTGCTTTAGAAAAGGGAAAGACTTTTAAATATGAACCGTTTATTTGCTTAATTGGAATTGGTCTCTTCGGCACTTTAATCGGTGGTGCTGTAGTGTACATTGTTTTGTTCTTCGTTCTGTTTTTTGTTAGTTTATTGAAGGCATTTGAAAAAGTATCAGAAAAATTGTATGTGCTGAGAAAGAACATTCCAAATTTGAAATCTCAACTGAATGAAATTATAGCGCAACACGACGTACTTTGGAATTTTAGCAATCAACTCAACGGACCGTTCAATTATGTATTAACAGTATTGTACGGTAATTTGTTAATGGAAACGAGTCTAATGTACTTCATTTTCAACTTTTCTAAACTAAAATTCGTGTTTAAAGTTTACTTTTCTTTCCTTTGTGCTACTCTCACTGTTGTCTGTATTTTAATCGGATTCTTGTTTTCTGCCTTCACATCTGCTGTAATGGATTTTTATTGAAAATTTCAAGATTTACTACATTTGCAGATTTTTTAAAATGCGTTATATTTCTTATTTTAGATGCAAACGTCTTTTCAAGACATCAGAAAATTTGCTGACTGCGATCTCGGATTGGAACAGAAATTACAGGTTTGATATGTTAAAAATATATTTTTATTTTTGTAATAACTCAGGATGTATTTTCTTCATAATCGAAGTTTAGACTATTTACAAAAAATCCGAATGATTTTTCGTGTCTATCTTTTAATCCTTTAAACACCTAGAGGGCCAGAAGCAGTTTAAAAGTGGATAAAAATGATATGGCGAGAAGAATTCTTTGTGTTTTTAATTGTAAAAGTGTCAGAACCTACAGGAAAAGGCTGATACTTGATCTCTTTTACCTGTATTTAAGAAGGCTTTTCTTCAAAGTAATTTTGGACTGTTACTTCTGTGGTGGTGTTTAAAGGATTAAAAGATAGAAAAGTCATTCTGATTTTTTGTAAATAGTCTAAACTTCAATTATATATTTTTATGTAGTAAAACGTTCATGTTTTTGTGTAATAATAAAAGTTAATAACTTTCTAGATTTTGAATTTTATGAAAAGGTTCGGTAAAGAATCCCTGTGTCTGTCGTGCAGAGATTACTTTAAGATTACGAAAAAGTTTCCAATAAAGGTAACATTTCTAGAAAATTGAGTGATATTATTTTTATAATCTAAATTGAATTGCTCATTTAAACATTTCAGATGGGAAGTTCTCTACATTCCATGTTTTCTGGTCTTTTAAATATAAAGAATGCTTCAAAACATAAAATTTAATTATTGCACACAATATTTTCATTATGAAAGACGGCACTAAACGACAATTATTTGTTAAGATGCGACGTCGCAATTACTAATGTTTATTAGAATTTATAAGTTATTTCCTTATATCGTTCGATATTAGGTTTTATCCTTATGTTAACCTTTCATTTAATAAAGATTCGTGCAATGTATATAATTAGAAGATTAAAATTGCTCTGCTATGAGCAATTAATGTAATTTCAACATTAATAGCCGAAAATTTAGAGAGAAACTCATAAAAGTACGTTGTAATCTGCACGTAGAATTATTAATGTATACGTATAACACTCGATGATAGAGACGTGTAATAATAATATGATTCAATTATGTAACGATCTATGGTGAAGAATCTAANCGTTGAATAAGAAATGTTTCTTTCACAAGAAATGTATAAAATTACAGTACTGTATTAGACTTACGGTACCTAATTTACATACTGTACAGACGATAGTTAGCGTAAATTCTTCGTAGCGTGGCGCTACGCGGCGGAAAAAAAATATATAATTATAATAAAGTTACAATAAATTAAGTTAATATATAATTATATATACAGTACCTAATTTACATATAATTAATATATAATTACATGTACAGTACCTAATTTATATATAATACTGTACAGACGATAGCAAACTCTCCATAGTGTGGCACTTGACGGTGGAAAATAGTTCGGCTGCCCGATGACGTTTCACGTAATTATAGGAGTTTTTTTACCTTTTTTTTACGGATACCGTCGCAATTTTTTCGCAGTTTTATAGGAATCGTAATTATAGGAACCGGTTTTATAGGGGTCTACTGTATGCTGAATGTTGTTTCGAATGGAAGACACAATCGATTGTTTTCTATTATTATGTTTTTTAAATTTAAAATAATAGTTTTCAATTGTGTAAAGATTTGTTGAATTATAATTACAAAAGACATAACTAAACACCACTCAACGTTTATAAGCAATTAGCAAGTTATTCAGACGTGGCAAGGGCAAAATAACAACAGCAAAAATTAATTTTATCAGATTATTATCTACCTGTACCTTCTATTATATTATATTATATTATAGTATTTGATTTATATTTATATAAGTTATCTTACGTTAGAGTTTATCGCACCGAATGACTATAATTCTGAGCTAGCCGGTAACCTCGGATTATGTAATTTTCCTATTCAAATGCCACATATTCTTGGTACCATAGGAAGAAGAGTGCGTTGCGAAACACTGTTGAAATACTACGAGGTTAATTTATCGTTAATCTTTTCCTAGAAGACAGGATGGTCAACGACTACTATTTAATTATTTCTCGTCTGCTGTGTATTAATATTTGAGAAGTTATTTGTTTTGGATGGCTTTCATGTGATAATAAAGTGTTTATATTTTCGCGACAGATTGTATCAAGTACGTGAGAATTATGTTCTTGAAAATATTGCGTTTATAGAAAGATTATTAAAATTAGTTTGGTTTATTTGGTTATGGTAATGCGACAAGTGTGCGATCTTTTGGGGAAGAATGCATCCCTGGCAGACTTTTATGTGCAGCTGTTCCGTATTTACGTGTTAGTAACGTGAAGGCAACTCGGAAAATTGCACATGGCGTTACCCCAACTCATCACCAACTTACGGTGTTTGGTTCTATTATCTACTCGGCTACTGAAAGTCACTTTAGAATTAAGAAAGTATTATTCAGAGATTTAAAAAAACCCGACTTGTTATATGTGAATAATTAAATAGTATACTTATAGATTTTTTCACAGGCTTGCACTTTCGATTTTACGCAGGCAAATGCTATGTGCTATCTCTCGCAATAATCATATAGCGCGTATTTTTCGCTCTATATCATTATCACAGTAATTAAGTGAATATAATATATATTGAGACAAGTAGCAGCTAGTGTGAATCGTTCTACATCTGATGTAAGGCATGTTTCACAGCAAAAAAAAAAACAGTATGGAAAAATTAAATTATTGATAGGCCTAACAGCGTGACTGACAGAGATAGACGCCAAGTATTTAAATTAATAACAAACAAACACATGACATCAAAAGCAGCTACCACCCAAAGTATCGCACATGACTGTTTGGAGAACCCTAAATAATAATGAAAATGTAAACTTCCTAAAAATTTAACAGAAACCGAAGTTTACACAACAGCGACAATTAGATAGACTTCAATGGAAAAAAAAATGTCCTGGATCTCAGACTTTGCATCAAATAGTGTTTACAGATAAAAGAATATAATTTAGATGGATCACATGGCTTATTAAGCTGCTAGCATGATTTAAATGTTTTAACTGCGGAGTACTTCATATGAAGTAGTGACATTTTCGCTTATTCAGTGCGGAACTCTTGAAATCGGTAATCTAATGGCCGTTAGTGATTTACTTTTTTTTAAATGAATAGTACAGTAAACGTGGTAAGTTATAATATAACAGTAGATATAAACACTAAGCATAATAATCAAAACAATTTGTTAAAGCATAAGTTCTTCTAATATTATTTGTTTTTTATATTGGTCTCGCCATTTTCTACTTATTCATTCTATATTTACTTCCATGTAATTGCATCTAATTATATTTAAAATGTAATAGAACTCCGAATTAATTTGCTAATAAAGGCACTACTTATTAACAAAACTTTGTATTGTTCTTTGACATTGTTTTACGTAACATCAGAGATGTCTAAATGNATGGCTTATTAAGCTGCTAGCATGATTTAAATGTTTTAACTGCGGAGTACTTCATATGAAGTAGTGACATTTTCGCTTATTCAGTGCGGAACTCTTGAAATCGGTAATCTAATGGCCGTTAGTGATTTACTTTTTTTTAAATGAATAGTACAGTAAACGTAGTAAGTTATAATATAACAGTACATATAAACACTAAGCATAATAATCAAAACAATTTGTTAAAGCATAAGTTCTTCTAATATTATTTGTTTTTTATATTCGTCTGGCCATTTTCTACTTATTCATTCTATATTTACTTCCATGTAATTTCATCTAATTATATTTAAAATGTAATAGAACTACCTCCGAATTAATTTGCTAATAAAGGCACTACTTATTAACAAAACTTTGTATTGTTCTTTGACATTGTTTTACGTAACATCAGAGATGTCTAAATGACACTCTTATAAACACAAAAAAAAAACAAATGTTTTGAAGTACTAGATAATTATATGTGCAAATAAATTAGTATAATACAAACCTTCACTTACAAGCATTCTATCCAAACAAAGATCAGTTCTTGGTAATTGCCGAAAATAAGATACTTTTCAATTTTTCTTTCTATAAAATAGAATATTCTGAAATGACTTCTGAATTCACAGTAAACTTTTTAATTTTTATACCTTAAAAACAACGCAAAATATATCGATTTACATAATAAAGGTTTATCCGACTGAACTTGCAACGAAAATGAAACACAAACACCAAACCGTACCCTACGAAGTTTGGTGCCAAATGATGCTTACGGGATACTCTTAGAATGCCCCTGTGCAATGTCATGTAACTGAAAATTAAATACAGTTGAGTTTTATACCTCGAATTTCATTCACTCCGGGAGGTCGATCGAAGTGCCAATCGTTCGAAGACCGAATGAAAGTTTTCCATTAGATGTAATAAAAGCGAGTTAATCCATCCCCGTACCCAGAACAATTCTTAAGTTATTTCGATAAACTTAACGTAGAAAATAAACGTAATTTAAAGAAAAAGTAACACCATTAATTAAATGCCATAACAATAATTTTAAACACAAAAACCACAAATGAAATGAATATTGTATTTATTACTTTGACACTGTGGACATCACAGTCTTAAAGTAATAAAAGACATTCACATAGACGTATGATTTAATAATAAATAGCATTTGTGAAAAATAACATATTAATAGATAATGTGAAATTGTATCGTTTGTTTAGAAGCGTATTGTACATAAAGTACTTACGTACTTTAAATTTTTTACTTCACATTTCGTTTGAATAACATCATTAACATCTTCGGATAAAATGCATTGTAATATTACGATTTGTGAGTTTTGAAAAAAGTATAACGCCGTACAACAATTGAAAATATTCAACAACGAGTTGCTTAACTGTCTCCGAAACATTCAGAACTGCGAGTGTGCCGCCATATGTTATGATATTTTATTTAAAAAACATTTCATATAACTGGCAAAAAGCATAACTTTGAGGTAGGATTATGTTTTATAACAAGTTGTAAATAATAATAAAACATAAATTCGTCATTAAGTCCGACCCTACTAGAGATACACACGACCCCCATTATTTATCTGTTCCTTACCTTTAATCATCACAACTTAATAGCTTCAATTCCCCCAATAAACAAACTTTCCTACAAAATTTCAGTTATTTTTCAGTAAAAAGTACAGGAGTTATTAAACTTCAAATAAGGTAAGCAAATCTGGTAGATGGTTTTTCGACCGATATCGAAGCATTTCCTTTGTTACATACCGAGTGTTTCCTTTCCGCAAAAGTTAGTATCCGTCGCTGTTCTCTCGGGGTGGAGAGAGGACATCTTTGTAAATTCAAATGAAAATGCAGGGTTAAATTGCCCTGACAAAAAAGGTAAGTGATTATTTTAGATATTTTTTCTTGTGATGCGAATTTCTCGAGGTGTTTTACAGTCTTAAGTTAAATTATTAATAATATGCTTTTAAATTTCGTACGTATAACAGTTTCAACTATATAATTTTATAATAAAACTTCCAAAATTTTACAGATGATATATGAATTTTATGAAAAAATAATATAATTAAATATTTCTTTCGTGATTTCTAATCATTATTATAAATTATTTAATGTTTATTTTAATTTTATGTAATGT